TTTTTTGAGATAGAGTCTCGCTCTGTTGCCCAAGCTGGAGTGTAACAGCGGTACAATCTCAGCTCAGCGAGCCTCCACCTCCCGGGTTCAAGCCTCCGCCTCCTGAGTAGCCAGGACTACAGGCACATGCCACTACGCCTGGCTAATTTTTGTATTTTTAGTAGAGACGGGGTTTCACCATTTTGGCCAGGCTGATCTGGAACTCTTGACCTCGTGATCCACCTGCTTCAGCCTCCCAAACTGCTGGGATTACAGTCGTGAGCCACCGCACCTGGCCGGGAGTGTTCTTTTATAACAAATTTAACTTCTTGAGTAGATGCAGGGCTATTTTAGATTGTTTATTCTTGTGTTTCTTTAATAAGTTGCATTTTTCAAGAAATGTGTTTATTTTACGTAAGCTGAGTTGTGATTGAATTTGCTGGCGTAAAGTTGTTACTGGTGTTCTCTTGTCGTTTTGCTCTCTGTAAGGTGTGTTGAAGATAACCTTTTAACATTCCTGGCAGTGGAGATTTGTGCTCTCCGGGTTTCTGTTAGTAAGCTTGGCTTTTCAGTGAGCCTGCTTTTTTGTTACATTTTATTGTTGTCGTCTGTTTCTTTGTTTATTTCCACTCTGTATTATCCCTCCCCTTCTTACTTCGGCTTACTTTGCTCTTTCTGGTGTCTTGATTTGGAGGAGCCTTAGGTTACTGATTTTAGCTCTTTCTGCTTTACTAAGGTAACCTTTAGAGCTGTAAGTTTCCTTCTAAACACTGCTGCAGCTGCATCTCTTAAATTCTGGTGTTTTGCATTCTCATTGTCATTCAGTTCAAAACATTTTCTAATTTCTCTTTTGATTTCTTCTTTGACCTATGGATTATTTAGAAGAAGGTTGTTTAATTTGCAGATATTTGGGATTTTCCTAGATATTTTCTAGCTATTGACTTTCAGTTTAATTCTGGTTAGAGAATAGACCCTATGGTTGATATTTGAGGGGGATTGGTTGGAGGTTGCTCACGTCCCTGATATAAAATGGAGTATTATTTGCATGTAAGCTGCACACATCCTTCATATACTGTTTTCCCCCCAGTCAGGAGCTCTGTCACCCAGGCTGGAGTGCAGTGGTGTGATCATGGCTCACTGCAGCCTCCAACTACTGGGCGTCAGTGATCCTCCCACCTTAACCTCCTAAGTAGCTGGTGTTATAGGTGTGCACCACCATGCCCAGCTAATTTTTTTTCTTTTTTTTTTTTTTTTGGTAGAGACAAGGTCTCGCTATTTTACCTAGGCTGTTCTCAAATTCCTGGCCTCAAGTGATCCTCCCACCTTGGCCTCCCAAATTGCTGGGATTACGGATATGAGCCACTGCACCCAGCCTTTCTGTATATATTAAATAATCTCTAGATTATTTATACTACAATATAATATAAATGCTGTGGATATAGTTGGTGTACTTTATTTTTTTAATTTAAAAAAATTGTTACTGTTTTTTGTTTTTCGGATACTCTCTACCTGAGGTTTGTTGACTCCACAGATACAGAGGGCTGACCGTGCATGGCTTCTTTTCAGTGTATTGAGACTTCTTTTGTGACGCATCTTACGCTCTGTTTTGGTGAATGTTCCACATGCACCGGAAGATAGTGCATATTTTACAGTTGTTGGATGTACTGCTATATAAATGTCAACCTGGTAAATATTTTGATAGTATTGTTTAGATTTGATGTCTTTACTGTTTTTATTTTTCTATTTTTAGACAAAGGGTCTCAGGGCAGTTGTGGTGGCTCATGCTTGTAATCTCAGCACTTTGGGAGGCCAAGACAGAAAGATCACTTGGGCCCAGGAATTTGAAACCAGCCTAGGTAACGGGGAGACCCCATCTCTGCAAAAAACTTTAAAAACATTTGTCGAGCACAGTGGCACTTACCTGTAGTCCCAGCTACTCAGGAGGCTGAGGCAAGAGGATTGCTTTAATACAGGAGGCTGTAATGAGCTGTGATTACATCACTGCACTCCAGTTGGAGTGACAGAGTGACACCCTGTCTCAAAAAAAAAAAAGATAGGGTCTCATTCTCTCGTTCTGTTGCTCAGGCTGGAATGCAGCTTTGAATTCATGGGCTCAAGCAACCTTCCCGCCTTACCTCCCAAGTAGCTAGGACCACAGGGGTGCACCACCAAGCCCAGCTAATTTTTTTTCTTTTGGTAGAAATGAGGGTCATGCTGTTTTGCCCAGGCTGGTCTCAAACTCGTGGCTTCAAGAGATCCTCCCACCTTGGTCTCCCACAGTGCTGAGATTACAGCCAGCAACCAGCTGGCTCTTTTTAACCCACCTTGTCAACCTCTGCCCTTCACTTCGAATCTGTGAACATACCATTTAATGAAACTACTTACACGGTTGGATTTAGGTGCACTTTTAGTATTGCTTCCTATGTGTCCCCTCGATTTTTTGTTCTTTTGTTCTTTTTCTTCTGAATTTTTGGGGTAGTTCTTAGCATTTCATGTATCTGTTGGCTTTTCGGATCTGTGTCTTTGTATTGTGTGTTAGTAATTGCTTGGGAGCTTCCAGTCTGCGCACCTAGCCTTCACTGTCTGCTTAGAGTTAATGCTGTGCCCATCCCAGAAACAGGGGACCTTGCTGTCATCTGGGTCCCTTTAATCCCCTGCTGACCTTTTCATTGTGCTGTCACGTGTATTACCTCTGTGAGCAATGGAAGCCCACTAAACAGTGTTCTTTTGTCTGCAGTCATACATATTTAAGAACTCTTAAGAGGAAAACAGTGGCATTTGGTATTTACCGTTTCTGCTGCTCTGCCTTCCCTCCTCAAGATCCAGGCTTCCCTCCGGTATCATTTTCCTTCAACCTGAGGAACTTTCTTGGGCATTCCTTATACAGCAGGGATATTAGTGATAAACTGTCTCTGTTTTCTACCACCTGAGATTCTTTATTTCACCTTCCTTTCTGAAAGATACTTTCCCTAGGTATAGAAGGCCTCAGCACCTTTTTTCTTCACGCACTTGAAAATATCACTACCTGCCGGTTAAAAGCAGTGTGGATCCTGGCCTGCATCCCGGAAGATAAGAAGGGTGCTCTTGGGAAACCGCGGAGCCCCGAGCGCCACCTGGCACTCAGCGGCAGTGCACCAGCGGTGGCCACACAGGCGTGGCGGCCACACAGGCACAGCTGCCGGGGACACTGGGAAGAAAGCCCGCGGGAATGCCTTTGCACCTTGTCCACAAATCTAAACTCATCTCAAAATCAGCCGTCTTTTAAAATATATTCACAGGAAGAGTAACCAGGGGAGGTGTCCTACGGAGAGGTGGCCCAGCGTGGCAGTGTGGTCAGTCAGGGAACGAGAGCACCTGTGTGGAGCAGGGAGGTGGCGCTGAGGGCGGGTCACAGTAGGGCTTGAGCAGCTCCACACGTGTCTTAAAGAGCATGGAGGCCCAGTTTCTTATAGGCAGAGAATGGAGTGACCAAGACCACAGGAGAAAATTAGAATGATCCCAGAGTGCTGAACTGGGATCAAGGACGTCCTGCTCGTAGCTGGCCTGCCGCCTCCCAGGTGTCAGGGGCGGTCCAGAGTCAGGAGAGGCTGAGGAACCTTCTAGCCCAGAGAGCCGGCGGAGGCACGGCAGCTGCAGGCAGCAGGGATTGGGATGCAGACTCTCCTGCGGGGGGGGGCTCCTGTGGGAGCGCCTGAGGAGGGGCTGTTGGTCATGGCCGGTCTCGGGGAAACACACATGGAATGTTCCGGGTGCAGGGAAGTCTGGTCAGTAACTGACTCAGTGATTAGGAGAAAGTTCTTTGTATTCTTCCAACTTTTCTGTAACTGTGATTGCCTCAGAATTAAGGCGAAATAGCCAAGGACCCCACAGAGGAGTGACACCCCGCCTGAAAGGAGGTGACCCCTTTTCGGAGGAGTGAGGCCGTGGAGAGGGAGGCATCCAAGCTGTCTCAAAGAAGGAGGCAGGCAGTGTCCCCTCGTTGTGTTCCCACACGGGCCTCGTGGCCAGTTTTCAGCTGAGTACCAGGGGCCCTTTCTGTACATGCCTCTCATACTCAGGATGGGGAGCGCCTTGTGAGGTTCTTCCTGTGGGACCCGCTGAAGAATGGGGGGCTTGGGGAGCAGGCAGTGTTTGTGCTCGTGGTGAAGGGAGAAGGGCTGTCCTCTGCTAGAAGGCAGGGTCGCCAGCTCCCTCACTGTGCCCTTGGCACCTGCAGGGTCACCAGCTGCCATGAGCGGCTGAATGCACACATGACCACTGAAATAAGGCTCCGAGAGTGACAGCAGCTGTGCCAGCCCTGTCGCTGTGCAGATCTGTTCCCACCAACACCACCGTCAGGCACCAAAAGCATGGGTTTTCCACACCAACAATTCACCAGCCCTCTCCAGACACCACCGGGCACCCGATAATTCACTTCAGTCTGACCCTGCCGTGGTTATCACAGACCCCAGGGTTAGGGGCTCAGTCACACCAAACCACCTCCCATTTCAGATGCTAATTGCAGGGCACCCACACTTCTGTCCATCTTGGCTATACATTGGGGGCTCCTGCAACCCCTTCAGGTTTGATAATTTGCTGTAGTGGCTCACAGAACTAAGGAAGGCAGTTGGTTTGCATTGCCAGTTTACTATAGAGGATGCCACAGGAGGCAGAGGTGGGCAGCTGGGTGAGGAGAGGCACAGCGAGGCCTGGAGGTCCTGGGCACAGGAGCCTGTGTCCCTGGGAAGTTGTGTGTCTGCCCTCACAGCACAGGATGTGTTCACCAAACCGAAAGCTTTCCAGGACCCCAGCTGAAGGATTTCCATGGAGGCATGATCACTTATGAACTCAGCCTCCAGCCCCTCTCCCCTTTTTGGAGGGTGGGGGTGGGGCTGAACGGTCCAGGCTTCTCGTTGTGTTTCGGTCTTTATGATGACCAGCCCTGTCCCAAGGCCATCCAGGAGCCCACCAAGAGGTGCCTCATTAGAACAGAAGACTATCCTGTCACTTGGGAAGTCCAAGGGATTTAGGAGCTCTGTGTCGAGCACCCCTGTCACCCCCATCACTCAGGAAATTACCAGTGTTCTGAGCACTCTGCGTCAGGAGCAGAGGCCAAGTGTCTGCTTCTCATTCTCTCAGTGTGCCCGCGAGGGCCACTGTTGTCTAGCTGTGTGGATCAGCTCAGCCCATCCTCACCCCCAGCCCTGTCCTTACAGCTCCCCATCCTAAGTACGAGTGTCCTTACAGCTGTGGAGGCTGAGGCCACACAGGCGCGTGGCTATCCCTGAGACTTGGTTTCCAGAGCCTGGATGCTTAGCTGCTGTGACCCACGTTTAATGTTTTTGTTGTGTTCCAGTTTAACAACTTTAAAGTTGCACAAGATTACCCACTTAATAATATTTGAATAAATGGGTGTCTTTATTTTCAAGAAATTTTGACTTGCAGTTCAGATTTCCTTTTTAATATTTTTGTTGAGCAGATACTTGATATTCCATAAGAGGGCATGTCTAGCGTGGTGGGTGATTTAATGTTTTAAATCCTTTGTACAGAAAGCCTGCTCTCGAGTCACAGATCGGCTGACTGGGTCAGGGCAGAGAGGGTGAGTGCCCAGCGAAGTCGGATTTGTCAGTTCACTTGTTTGTTTCAGAAACAGGCATTGAGACCTGCTGGTGGGGCCCTCCTCTTTAGTTTCTGTTTCATGCCAGGATTCAACCAAGTATCTCATTTTGCCAATCTGACTTCCGTAGGGGCCATGACACCTGCAAGGCTTTTCTCAGCAAGATCGAGGACCATGTTTGAGGGCGTGGGGCACTGGGCCTTGTCCATGCAGGCTGGCCTTAAGCCCAGCCAGCTACCGCCACGGCAGGTTTCTCCCAGGCTGCTCTCGGTCGGCTGTGCGGACCACGCGAAGCATCAGGAGCTCCCGGGGAAGAAGCCACTCTCTGAGAAAAAGCTGGTGAGACTTCTGAAGTTAGGGGCCCCAAGTCTGCATGTGGGAGTACAGCAGCTTGCCTGTCTACTCCCCAGAAAGCACAGGGTGTGGTTTTGGGTCCTCTTGATCTCATCTCTGTTGATGTTAGTTAATGATGTTACTGATGGGGGCACATGGAGCTTCTTGAAAATGGTGGGGTGAAATGCGGCCTGTGTGCCAAGTCCCACACTCAGCAAATCCCAGCAGGCTGGGAGAGGTGCTGGGTGCTTGGAGAGCCGTGGTAGAGGCTGCTCATTTTACCATGATCCTGGGTATCTTACATGTCTATTACATATATCCTTTAATATATGTGGCTATTTCTTAATTTAAAACCCATCAAGGGGCCAGGCGCGGTGGCTCATGCCTGTAATCTCAACCCTTTGGGAAGATGAGGCAGGCGGATCACTTGAGGTCAGGAGTTCGAGACCAGCCTGGCCAACATGGTGAAACCCCATCTCTACTAAAAATTAATAAGTAAATAAAATAAATGGAGGAAATAGACTTTCTGTTTCATGGTTCTTTAAGCCTTACAAGTTTTTCTTGTTCTGTTTACCAAAACCTCCTATTTGAAACATGATTCTCTCTCATAAATTCAAGAAAATACAAGTTTATGACTTACTTCATTCCTCCTGAATGGAGGGGCTACAGATAAGCATCACTGGGGCAAACAGCACTTTGGGGGAAAAGCCGCCGTGGCGGGAAGCGTGCTCGCATAGCGGAAGTGTCCGCACAGGCCTGCCTCATCCCCAGAAGAGAAGGCCAGTCTAGGTGTGGCTCTCCCTGTCTGGTGGACATTACACGTTGAGATTTGGAAATAGCAGTTCGTGGTTTTTCCACACGGTGGTGCCAAAGAATCTTAAAATGTTTGTGTATTTTCTTTTAAAAGAAAAAAGGAAGACGCATTTGAGGAGTATTGGATGGGAGTGCAGAAGCAGCAGGCCTGGGTGGCTGTTGGGCGTGGTGCGTCTGTCCGTGCACGTGGCAGAAGCCCGGTGCCCACCCCAGGGTGTGGTGCGGCTGCAGCACCCTGGGCCAAGGGAGCTGACCCTTCTGTGGTCGGAGCTGCTGTGTAGTGAACAATAACCTGATTAGTTCTCTCTTCGACCAGACTGCACCTGCCTCAGTGACCTCGCGATCAGCTTTCCCTCCAGCAAGGGGCTCTGTTTGCATCACTAGGTTTTTACGGTGAACCTTGTTTGCTTCAGGCCCCAGAGTCGAAAGCCTGGCAATTGTGCAGGAATGGCTGTGACTCCATTTCCCTATCACATCCTGGGAAATCAGAACTTTCTGAGAGTAAGGTTCTACTATTTCAGGAATGGTTTTTTTGGAATGGAAAGACACATTATTTAATGAACATTTCGTAAACAAGATGTGGGTGTTTTAGGTTAGAAATGCTGGGTTTCGGTTTGTTTTTAAATTAGTCTCACCCAGAATAAGAAATGCTGAATTTTGAAGTGTGGGTCCATACAGAATACTTAGGTCTGCATCGTGGATTTACCTCTGTCTACAAATGCTGCTGACTTATGGGAGCTGTTTTATCTTTGAATTTTAGAAGAGATTAGCCACGTTAGTGTCATTAACCTCGAATTTTAATAGGCTGTCCCAGATAGAAGTACATCTCAAATGGATGCGTGATCTCTCGAAGGGCCCTCAAGTGCTGAGGTGACGTGGGATGCTTGTGCTCTCTGCAGAAAAGGTATTTTGTGGACTGTCGGAGAGTGCTTGTCTGTGGAGGAAACGGAGGCGCCGGGGCAAGCTGCTTCCACAGTGAGCCCCGCAAGGAGTTTGGAGGCCCCGATGGAGGGGACGGAGGCAACGGCGGGCATGTCATTCTGAGAGGCAGGTGCCCTGGGGTGGCACGGGCGGAGGTGGGGAGGGGCCCTGAGTCTGCATGTGCATTTGAACTAAAAACCTGATGTATGGGCAGGTGCAGTGGCCCATGCCTCTGATCCCAGCACTTTGGGAGGCCAAGGCAGGGGGATCACTTGAGCCCAGAAGTTCAAGACCAGCCTGGGCAAAAAAAATAATTATTTTTTTGGTCTCAAGATCTGTGGATCTACAAAAAATTTTTGAAAAAATTAGTGTCAGTGGGAAAAAAAATAAATAAATAAAGTATTTAAGTATACAAAAAAAAAAAAGAAAGAAAGAAAAAAGAAAAAATTAGCCAGACATGGTGATGTGTGCCTGTGGTCCCAGCTACTCCAGGAGAATTGCCTGAGCCCAGGAGTTCAAGGCTGCAATGAGTCTTGATCATACCCCGGCACTCCAGTGTGGGTGACAACGTGATACCCTGTCTCTAAAAAAATAAAAATAAAATGTTTAAAACCCAGCTAGGTACAGTGGCTCATGCCTGTAATCCCAGTATTTGGGGAGGCTGAGGATCACTTGAGCCCAGGAGTTTGAGACAAGCCTAGGCAACACAGTGATACCCTGTCTCTTAAAAAAAAAAATAACCAGATGTGGTGGCACACACCTATAGTCCCAGCTACTCGGGGTTGAGGCACGGAGATCGCTTGAGCCCAGCAGGCGGAGGCTGCAGCGAGCTCCCATGGTGCCGCCGCACTCCATCCTGGCTGACGGGGAGACCTTGCCCTAAGAAAACCAAAAGCCCTGATGTATGGATGTCATTTTTATAAAATACACGGATGTTCATAAACAGCACACGCAAAAAAGCAGCTTCCAGCATGTTTTGTCTTGTTTTTTAATTTCAGGAGCACAGAGTGTTTCCTGTCAAGGCACCTGACGTGCTGGCCGCGTGAAAGCAGAGCCTGTGCGGCAGCCTGGCGGGTGCTGCCGGGTGCTGCCGGCGGGTGCTGCCGGGTGCTGCCGGGTGCTGGTGTCATTCCCACTCATTCGGCACAAACGCAGCAGCGAGCTGGGAGCAAGGCGTTCACAACAGTCATAGAATGTAGCTACTTTAAAAAATGAGTAATTTTAAAATGTTCAGAAATGACAGCACTTTTGGAAGCAAAATAAGTTCACTTTCAAAAAGCCATGCTGCTGTTTTTGTGACTTCTGCTGCAGCCCCACTCCATGCTTCCATACGCATTTTTAAGGTTCTTAAAAGGGACACAGAGATGTCAGCAGTAGGCCATGGCTGTCTTAAAGGGGCTGAGACTCTTGTTCTCACTTTAGTTGATCAGCGAGTCAAGTCCCTGTCATCGGTCCTGTCGAGGTACCAGGGTTTCAATGGAGAAGATGGCGGCAGTAAAAACTGCTTCGGGCGCAGTGGCGCCGTCCTCTATATCCAGGTGAGCCGAGGCTGCCGGAGCTGGCCCTGTCCCTGTGGTTCCGGATCATTCAGCTCCTGGGGCCACCCAGGAGACCCCTGTGACTTGATGCCCACAGCCAGGAAACAGCGCAGTGCAAATGGAGGCTGCAAACAACAGGAAAGCTGCCACGCCCCCAAAGCAAAGCCCAGACAGGCGCTTGTACCAGGGTCACGCGATGTGCATGTCACCTAGTGAAAAGCTCATGAAATGATTCTCTTAGAAATCTGGAGCCCACAGCATCCACACTCGCTCCGTCTCTGGCACCATGAGCCGCCCTCCGACCGAGGAGCCCGCTGCCACCCAGCGGGCCCGGTGTCTCCTTGCCAGTGTAGCTCACTCTTCTCTTAGATTAGCCGTTTTGTTCCCATTGCTTCTGTTCACCCTAATGTTTTGGAAACACTATTTGGAAAAGCCCTTTGTGCACTTAGAAGGGCGTGTACCGAGCCCCGTGAAATCCCTGGAGCACTGGGACCTTTTTCTTGCATTCCACGGCTGTCAGCGGAGGTGAGTGGGGTGGGGCTGCGCCATCCCGTTCCTAATCTGGCAGCCGCCGCGGGCACCGTCCGCTCTTGTCTTCTTCCCTTAGCGCTTGCTCCAGGAGAGTTACGGTCGCCTTTCCACACTGCTCATACGGCTCAGCTGATGAGCGCCTGCTGTTTCCCAGGTCCCCGTGGGCACGCTGGTGAAGGAGGGAAACCGAGTTGTGGCTGACCTGGCTCACCTAGGCGACCAGTACATTGCCGCACTAGGTGGGGCCGGAGGGAAAGGCAACCGCTTCTTCCTGGCCAACGACAACCGTGCCCCTGTGACCTGTACCCCTGGACAGCCAGGACAGCAGCGAGTTCTCCACCTGGAGCTGAAGACGGTGGCCCACGCCGGGATGGTAAGTGTCCCCTCCGCCAACAGCATCTGTACACATTGAACTCTAGAAAATCCCTGTTCTCCGTGGGGTTTTGCCAGCAGCCAAGAAGCGAACAGCTTTGGGACTCACCGTTTTCCCATGAGTGCAGGGAGGGCTTGGTCGCAAGCATGAGCCCTTGTGAATCCCGCAGTCCTGAAATCCTCCCACCAATCGAGTTAGTTACAGACCGTGCTAACAGGTGCTGCCGAGGGCCATGCCACGCCTTCCCTCTCTCCCCCAGGTGGGATTCCCCAACGCCGGGAAATCCTCGCTTCTCCGGGCCCTTTCAAACGCCAGACCCGCTGTGGCTGCCTACCCATTTACCACCCTGAAGCCCCACGTCGGGATCGTCCACTACGAAGGCCACCAACAAATAGCAGGTAGGATTCCAGAAATCTCTCACAGGTTAGACTTACATGTAGCTCTTAAATTTAGCTTTCCGTTTAAAATGTAGCATAGTTTTTCCTGATTTAAACAATTTTTTTTTTTTGGAATGAAGTCTCACTCTGTCACCCAGGCTGGAGTACAGTGGCTTGATCTCAGCTCACTGCAGCCTCCGCCTCCTGTGTTCAAGCGATTCTCCTGCCTCAGCCTCCTGAGTAGCTGGGATTACAGGCATGTGCCATCACGCCCAGTTAATTTTTTTGTATTTTTAGGAGAGACAGGGTTTCACTGCGTTGGCCAGGCTGGTCTCCAACTCCTGATCTCAAGCGATCTGCCCACCTCAGCCTCCCAAAATGCTGGGATTACAGGCATGAGCCACCGGGCCTGGCTTTAATTTATACAATTTTAATCAGCCTGTTCTCTATGAAAATTAGGTTCCCACCCCATCCCCCCGGGAGTCTGTCAGTTACAGTTTAGAAACTTGAGCTGAAATTTCAGCCTGAGGACGTTATTTCTTCCTACTCCATTTGTCCCTTGCTTTCATCTGTGGAGGCTCAGCACCGTCACAACCTGTGGCTTAAAAGCGTTCCTTGTGCCGTTTGAAAGAATAAAACTTTTTCCCGGAAAACAATGTACCCATTAAAAATAGTAAGCCTGGGCCGGGCGCGGTGGCTCAAGCCTGTAATCCCAGCACTTTGGGAGGCCGAGGTGGGTGGATCACGAGGTCAAGAGATCGAGACCATCCTGGTCAACATGGTGAAACCCCGTCTCTACTAAAACTACAAAAAATTAGCTGGGCATGGTGGCGCGTGCCTGTAATCCCAGCTACTCTGGAGGCTGAGGCAGGAGAATTGCCTGAACCCAGGAGGTGGAGGTTGCGGTGAGCCGAGATCGCGCCATTGCACTCCAGCCTGGGTAACAAGAGTGAAACTCCGTCTCAAAAAAAAAAAAAAAAAAAAAAATAGTAAGCCTGCTGGTGAGGTTGTTCGTACGCACTTTATATCTGCAGAGTACTCTCTATAATTCCTATCCATAATCAAAGTATTAGTAGGGTGTAGGAAGCCATTTTCCTTTTTTTGAATCCCATTTGAAGCCGGAAGGATAGAAGGTGTTAAGTGTCCCCTGCTAGACAGATCCGTCACCATGCCGATCTCCCGGTTATCACAGGGTGTTCCGTTCCTTGGCTGGCAGTTAGTCCAGTGAAGCACCCGGTGATCAGATGGCTTTAGTTCAAGCCATTCCTTGAAAGGAAAGTGTTAGAACTCAGGAAATCCAGCCTCCGCAGTGGGCTCCAGGCCTTCCCTCCCAGACTCGAGGTGGAAGGCGCGCTTGGTGCTGGGTGGGACCAGTGGTGACCCCGTGTGCCCGTCTTCCCTGCAGTGGCCGACATCCCTGGCCTCATACGAGGCGCCCACCAGAACAGGGGCCTGGGGTCTGCCTTCCTCAGGCACATTGAGCGCTGCCGCTTTCTCTTGTTCGTGGTGGATCTTTCTCTGTCTGAGCCGTGGACTCAAGTGGACGATTTAAAATACGAACTGGAGATGTATGAAGAGGGCCTGTCTGAGAGGCCCCACGCAATCATCGCAAATAAGATTGACCTCCCTGAAGCCCGAGCCAATCTGTCCCAGCTCCGGGATCACTTGGGGCAGGAGGTCATCGCACTGTCGGCGGTGACCGGTGAGAACCTGGAGCAGCTGCTGCTGCACCTGAAGGTGCTGTATGACGCCTACCTGGAGGCCGAGCGGGGCCGGGGCCGCGAGCCACTCAAGTGGTAGCTGTGGCAGAGCGGGTGACTTCTGGGCCGCTGGCCGAGCACATGTGGGTGTGAACTCGGTGGCTTCGAATGCATCAAGAAAGTGCCTTGTGGACACAGCAGAGTTGTGGTGCTTTTAGCTCTCAGGGGCCCCACCCGCCGGCCTGGGATGCCCTCAGGTAGGGGAGCATTCTGTGTCCCCGCCCCCCAGATTTCCTACACCTGTCAGCAGGTGCCGACTGATAGCCAGCCGACTCATCTGTGCTGATTAACACCCCTAATGAGGTGTTGGGGTGCCCACGCCGCAGTGGCCCTGCTGCTGACTCGGGTCTCCGCAGCGCATGCATGGACTCTCGGGTGAGCTCAGCAGAACCGCACAGCCAGACCCCCGGTCAGCGGTGCAGAGCGGCCTTCTCAGCACGGAGCCCCTCCCGCCTCCATGGCCTGCTGCAGAGGGAGACCTCTGGATCCACACTGGGGTTGGGTACGCCCCACTGTCCACAGCCCTACGGAGCCACAAGGCACCGCTGCACCAGTGGTGGGGACGAGGACGTGAGTCCAGGCAGAGCAGCGAGGACAGCTGTGTGCTTTTCTCCAGCGCCAGCCGTCTGAGAAGGGCAGTGAGGGCCAACTCCTTCCTGTCCTTCAGAACGCTGCCATGTGCTGGCTGGGAGCCAGGCGCCGGGAAGCCTCAGGCTTCACGACTGAATGCACCCAATATCCGCCCAGGCCCCAGGATTCCGGCTGGGCTGCCGTGTGCATGGCGGGTTGCTCACTAAAGGGGGTGTGGGCCAGGGAACGTCGGCATTACTCCCAGAAGGCGACGCGGCATGGGCAGATATGGTGACAAGTGGAAGGACACTTGTGCCTGCTAGTGTGGGGCAGAATTTCCACTCGGCTCCATTTGCTTGGGATTGGAGGAGAACCCTTGTGCTGGGCCAGGCGGTTGCCAAGCCTTCCTGACCCTGTGGGAGATGATGGGCCTCTTCCCCTGGTGGGACGGTGGCTGAGGGGGCCTGTGTTTGCCCCTCGAGGCAGCTGCATCATCTTCTGTCTGATTGCACAGGGCCCACAGGACAAGGACAGCTGAGTTGCTGGCAGCCTGCCTGTCTCACAGAAGCCCCCAAGTAGTCTCATGCCTCTCACATATCCCTGAGGGCCCCTAAGAAAGAAAGTGGAGGGGACACTTGGGAGGCTGAGGTGGGAGGATCACATGAGCCTGGAAGGTCGAGGCTGCAGTGAGCTGTGACTGCGCCACCGTACTCCAGCCTGAGTGACAGGGCAGGACCCTATCTCAAAAAATAAAGTGGAGGGACAAAAAAGCAGAGAAGTGTGACCAGAGGGGGACCATGGCCCTTACGGGAGAGACAGCGCCACGTTGTGGAAAATGTGCGCTGGGGTGAGGTGTCCTTGACACACTAGGCGGGCTTTCTGGAGCAGTTCTCTTTTGATCTCACATCAAATCTGCAGCGAGAACATGACAGTCCTTTTACCCGAAGCTTTATTTTAATGTCTTATAATTTCAAAGGTCCTTCTATCCTAGAAGCCAGAGACAGGTTTTGCATCTATTTGCTTTTCCTTTCAGGCCACCACAAAGGGTTTTGTGGAATCAAGCGAGGCCAGAGAGCCATAATTATCCCTGGCTTTCATCTAGGTGCCCTTACCGGGGATGCTCAAGATGCCTCGTGGTGCCCCCTGCACTAAGCCCCCAGCCCAACCTCCCCGAGGCTGGAAACCTTTCTCTGCACCTGACTCTCAGGCTGCCCGGGGACCAGGCCATTGCTTTTTACTGAAGCTGGGGCTCCAGAGGGGAAGTCACCATGAGCCAGGTTGCCCAGAAATTTCCTTGCTGCAAAAAGCCCCAAAACTTCTCCCTGCCTCACACAGAGCTTTTGCAGTCCTAAAAGCTGACACGTTTCTCTCTAACACTGTTCTCACTGAGGGGGGAAACTCCACACCTTTCTCTCTAACGCTGTTCTCACTGGGGGGGGAAACTCCACACCTTTCTCTCTAACACTGTTCTCACTGGGGGGAACTCCACACCTTTCTCTCTAACACTGTTCTCACTGGGGGGGGAACTCCACACCTTTCTCTCTAACAGTGTTCTCAGTGATGGTGTTCAATCACCATTGGGTTTCACCAGTTTGTGTCTTCCTGTCTAGAAAGAAATTTTGCCATTCTGCTATTCAAATGTGATATATAATTCACATACCATAAGGTTTTTCACTTTATGTGATTCAGTGATTTTTCATACGTTCAGAATGTTGTGTAACCGTCACTCCTAATTCCTGAGAGTTTTCTTCACCTCAGAACAGACAGTGCCCCACTTAGCATGAACCCTCCTGTCCCCTTTCCTGGGCACCCACCTGTCTATCTTCTGTCCTTAGGGACCTGCCTTGCAGACAGATTCTTGAGTCGGAGTGTACACTACCTAGTCATCTGTGGGGGACTCAGTAGCCATGCCTGGGGCGGTTGACACCGCTGTCCTGCATTAGAGAAGGGACGGCAGGTGCAGCCAGCCCCGACAGTCAGCATGTGGGGGCTGCCTGGGCTGCTCCTACGCGGGGACTCTGTGTGTCCCAGCAGCCTTGGAACACTGGACCTGCAGCCGGCATGGGTTACTGCTGGCAGGTGCACACAGGGTGGCAATGGCACCAGGAGCCTTTAGGCTGCTCCTAGTTTGAAACTATTTTTATTTTTATATTTTTTTATTATTTTGAGGCTGAATCTCATTCTGTCACCCAGGCTGGAGTGCAGTGGCACAGTGTCAGCTCACTGCAACCTCTGCCCCCCAGGTTCAAGTGATTCTCCTGCCTCAGCCTCCCGAGTAGCTGGGATTACAGGTGTTCACCACCCAGCCTGGCTAATTTTTATATTTTTGGTAGAGATGGGATTTCTCCATGTTGGCCAAGCTAGTCTCAAACTCCTGACCTCAGGTGATCCACCCTCCTAAGCCTCCCAATGTGCTGGGATTCCAGGTGTGAGCCACTGCTCCTGGCCCTGAAACTGTTTTTAAAAGGCAGTGGTGCTGAGAGACTTGTTCTGAGGGAGGGTCCCCAGTAATGAAGGTTGAGTATGTCAGCTCCTCTCCCTGAATTCCAGCTGTGCCAGTCCCACCTCTTGCTGTTCCTGCAAGAATTGATCTCTTTCTGCGAGCCGTTCAGCCACCCCCTTGAGTCCACTGGGGCGTTGCCTGTTGACATCTTGCCGCAGTGGACGAGGACGTGGCTGTGTCCCGCCAGCCGCCTCACAGCCCCTCACTTTCCTTGGGCTCCTGTCTGCGCTGTGTGGATTCGTCTCAGTTCCTCTGCCCCAAGGATGTTTCTGGTCCCTGGTGCCTGGTGACATTTTCTAGTGTCCCTGGCTTCCTTTTTCCTGGAGGCTTCCTCATGTCGGCCTCCCTCTCCCTCTGGACCTGCTTCCTTGTGGGGCCAGAGATGCAGGCCAGAGGCGAGGCCACCCAGCAGCCCCACAGTCAGAGGCCTTGTGCCACTGTGCTGGGCACCTCCGAGTCTCTCTTCTCAGTCACTCTGTTCTGTGGGTCGTCACCCTGCAGTGGGTGCCCCCGGGTGTCCACTTGGGGCTATCAGACACCTGGCCTTGGCAGGAAGTCTGAAGATGGAGGACCTGGGTTTCAGGGGACACAGTTTCCCTCAGTTTCCCAGCTCTCGGCCCTGAGCAGCACCCCCATGCCTGACGTCCTCCCGCCCGCAGCTCCCCGCTCACTTGCTACTAAGGCAAACCTCTGTCTCCTGCAGGACTTCCGAGGGGCCAGGCCCGACCCAAGCTTGTGGGGACCTCAGCAGTGAGGTCCCTGCCTGCCTCACTCCATCCCTGTCATTTAGGGGACCAGGGGTGGGCGTGGCAGGAGCAGACGGGCCCAGCCCTGTTCCCCGGAGGACGAAGGGGGCTGACGTGCTCAGCAAGCTTAAGCCAGGAGTGCAGTCCCTCATGCATGGCTGCCCTGCAATCTGTCCTGACCAGCAGGATGGCAAGTGACACACACCTTCCAAGACTGCCTCCAAGGGCCTTGCAGCCTCCCCTCCATGGCCTGTGACCGAACCAGGCTGGAAGACCCGCGAGAGGCCACTTGGAGCCGAGAGCAGCTGTGCAAACTGACCCCAGCAGGTGGTCTCCAGCTGGTGGCCAGGTTCTGCCATGGTCTGCTGTGGGTTTGCCTTGCTTTATGAGCATTAGGTGTGTTGGGAACGCTGGCATGGAGCTTCTCCATCCCACGCCCTAGGCGGGTCCCAGTTGGCCTTGAAACCCTAGCCCCTCGGTGGAGGCAGCCGGGTCAGGCCTTTCTGGCACCCCCAGCTCAGCCATCTCAGCCATCTCTGCATCTCGGCAGGCAGCCGGGGAGGGTGAGGTCCAGGTGCCCTGGGGCCCTGCCACCTTCCACTTGGATACAAGCGAGGAGGGGTCTGCCCTGAGCATCCCCTGTCGAAGCCCACCTCTGTGACAGTGATGTGGGAAAACGTAGCGTTTCCGTTTGAAAATAAAGTTTTGTCTGCTCCTTATCAGTCTCCTGGGCTGCTATGACAAAGTGCCACAAACTGGGTGACTTAAAACAGCAGAAGTTGGCCAGGTGTGGTGGCTCATGTTTGTCATGCAATACTGTGGGAGGCTGAGGCTGGTGGATCACCTGGGGTCAGGAGTGTGGGACCAGCCTGGCCAACATGGTGAGACCCCATCTCTATTAAAAAATATAAAAATTAGTCAGGCGTGGTGGTGCACACCTGTAGTCCCAGCTACCCGGGAGGCTGAGGCAGACAAATCGTCTGAACTCCTGATCACTCAGCCGAGATCGCGCCGCTGCTCTCCAGCCTGGGCGACAGAATGAGACCGTCTCAAAAAAAAAAAAAGAAAGAAAAGCTACATGGAGTCTGGTATAGGCAGGGCAGGGGGCCTCAAGGCCTCATCCTCGGCTGGCAGCGGCAGGGCTCCGGTGCCTGCGCCGTCCCCGAGTGACTTCCCCCATGTGTCTGTGTCCCCTGACCTCTGTGGATGCCGGCTGCAGGATTTGGGCCTCTTTAAACCAGGAAGGTTCCATCTTGAGACCTGTGGTTACATTTGCACAGACCCCGTTTCCAATAGTGACATTCTGGTGTTCTGTGGATGTGGATTTCAGGGCACACTGACCCCAAGCAGCATCCCTTTCCATCTTTTTTTTTTTTTCTTTGGTGGGGAGGGCAGAGTCTCTCTCTGTCACACAGGCTGGAGTGCCATGGTGTGATTTCGGCTCATTGCAACCTCCGCCTCCTAGGTTCAAACGAGTCTTCTGCCTCAGCCTCCTGAGTAGCTGGGGTTACAGGCGTGTGCCATCACGCCCGGCTAACTTTTGCATTTTTAGCAGAGACGGGGTTTCGCCATGTTGTCCAGGCTGATCTTGAGCTCCTGAGCTCAGGTGATCCGCCTGCCTTGGCCTCCCACAGTGCTGGGATTGCAGGCGTGAGCCTCCGCGCCCAGCCTCCCTTTCCATCTGGCTGTCGCGCGCGCTGTGCTGAGTTCGGCCTCACACGGGGCCTTTGCCTGAGGCAGCTCTGCCCTCGGGTCCACCCCAGGTCCTGCATGCCTGTCGCCTCCACCCCTGCTCTGGACAATGGTAGTGGCCTGCCAACGGCTCCTCCGCTTGGTGCCTGGGCCCCTTAGTTTTCCCACGTGGCTGTGCCAGGGAGCCAGGCCCCTCACTGGGAGCGCCGCCACCCACTCCTGTGTCTCGGCCATGCTGGGCCGCTCCCTAGACTGCAGGCTTCTGTGTTGCTGACCCCTGTGACCCCGTGCCCTCCCCAGACACCCCGTGAAATGCCCTCTAATCAGAAAGCCAAAGACAGCCTCACCCACCCAGGCTCTGCACAGCTGGGGCCACCACCCTCTCGTGCGCGCACTTTCCACACCATCCACATTATCCACCGCCCCCCCAGTGCGGTGAGAAGAGACCTCGTTTGTCTGTGCCCAGTGCCCAGTGCCCAGGTCGGTCCTGGCCCCAGAAGAGAGGCCTGAAGGGCAGACATGCTGAGGCAGCCTGAGCGTCTCATCAGTGAACACAAGCCGGGGACCTGTCTGGGTGCTGCTGAAGAGGCACAGCAGAGCTGCAGGGCACGGCAGCACGCAGTGGGAGTGGGGAGCGGCTCTGCGCACACGGCTTCCACCCAGGGACCACAGGCGTCAGGCCGGGGAGAGCCGGTGCTGGGAGGTCACACCTGATGGTTCCCTCTGCAGAGTGATACAGAAACAACAACGAGGAGAATGGATGGGGGTCCTCGGGCTGAGGGGGCAGGAGGGTGCAGGTGGCCGTGGACACAGAAGGACTGTGCCAGGGTCCCGTGTGTGGGTGCTGGGGCCACGACTCTGCTCATGTGAAAGAATCCCACTGGCATAGTGTTTCAGGCTGGGAAGATGAGCAGCTCTGGAGGTGCGGGGTCGCGAGGGGTGCACAGCAGTGGGAGGGCACTGCCAACTGCACACTTCAGATAGTTCCAGTGGTCAACTTTATGTTTCTCTTATGACGTAAAACTAAACATGCACACACAAAGTGCCAGGGAGTGGGAGCCTGTGTGCGGCGATGGCGTGCGTGCTATGGTCTTAGAAGGTGGCTCACCCAGTGTCCCCTGTGGGGGAAGCCAATCAAGGGCATGTGGGGTGTCTGTAGTGTTGCGTGCAACAGCACAGGAATCTACAACAATCTCCAAAGGGGAAAAGCAAGATGTCGGGAGCCCACTGCCGGCTGATGAGCCCTGGAGCAGCTCTGAGGAATGTTGGGGCTGCGTCTTCCTCAGCCCTCCTGGGACTGTCCCCTCGTGGCGCTCTGCTGGAAGAAGGCAGCGTGAGGTCAGCTGAACACACAAGCAAACCTCTCTGCAGCCTCCACAGCCCTTGGCGCTTGGCTTCTGCAGGACGCATTCCTCCTGGTCTTTGCCGCTGCCGAGGATCCTGGGATCTGGGGACATTTCCAGCAGCAATGCCAGCAGAGGCATGCAGAGGGGAGGCCCAGCCCTATCTGTGGTTCTGATAGTTCATATTCTTACTGCCAGGACTGTCTCCGCCACCAGCCCCACCACCAGGCCAGGGTCTCACTCCTGAAAGGAGC